GCGGCAGAGTGGGCCGCTGCCCTCTCAGGAGGACATGTATGGCACTGGTCCGGAGGATTGGAGCCGTGGCGGTGGTGGCGGTGGTGGTGGCGGTGGTGGAGGGGAAGACTGGGGTCGCGGAGGGGGAGGGGGCAGTCGGCAAGGACGGTGGGGACCGCGTAGGGGTGGTGGTGGTGGTGGTGGTGGCGGTCGATATTGAGGCATCTACTTACACATGTAATACCAGTTCCAAGACGCCCTTCTCTCTCTCTCTGATCTCAAGGACGTCGCATAAGTCTAAGACGCAACATCATCTTTAGTCTCCAGCTGACCTCATAACAGATACTAGCCAATCCTTGATACGAGTTACAAGCACCACCCACTCACCCTAGTAATCAACGCTCATGCACCCGAACCCCGTACCCACTCACACAAAACATCTCAAAAAATTCGATATTGGATACAAATCAATCACAATAGATACTACTAGTAACACCCACCCAGCTGTAACAATCTAGCCCCCCCCCCCACCTCTATCATAATCATACAAGTACAAGTACGCTCTCTAACAACCCAGAAGTACAAAAAGAAAAAGAAAAAGATACAAGAAAATACAAAACGATACGGAAGGGTGTGGCGTTACAGGCGATGTCGATATAAAACTCGCGATCGCGATCTAGTCCATGGCGGCGTAGGCGTTATAGTGTGGCGTGTGTGCGTGGGGGGCGGGGGGAGGGGCGGTGGGCGTGATGTAGAATGTAGAGTGTACTGTCGTGTATGCGTTATGCGTAATGCGTATGTGCGTAGTAGTAGTAAGAAATACAACCCTCGAAGTCGAACCAAACCCATCACTCGGAAATAAAAATAAGAAAAAAAGGGGACCGAAACAGATACTCAAAGATCGAAACCGCATACCCTCTCGGCCGCTCAAACAACGACACCAACCCCCCTCGCCCCACCCACGCCCACGCCCACACCCACACCCACACCCACAGGCGGCGACACAGGCTGCGGCGTCGCCTCCCCACTCCCCATCCCCCCCTCCATCTCCATCTCACACCCCCCAACAACAATGCCATACCCATCCTCAATCCCCCCTCCCTCGATACCGACACGGGGGACAGGCTGAGGCACGTCAATGAACGTCTTCCTCTTCACATGCGGGTGCGTATGCGCGCGCGTATGTGCGTTGTTGTTATGAGGGTGATCAGAATCCCGAGGGAGGGGAGGAAGCCGTGCGTCCGAGCCAGTGAAGAAACAGAACCTACACCCCCCCAAGTCAGCCCCATCCCACCCACAAAAAAAGTAAAAAAAAGGAAAAAAAAACGCACTTGCTCAAAAACTCTCTATAACACTCACTCTCCCCCTCCCCATCCCCAAACACCCCCGTCGGACTAGGCGACGTCTCCCTCGAACTCCCCAACGACGGCGTCGACAGCGCACTACTCTCACTCGTGCTCGACTCGCCTCCATGCCCGTACGCCGCTGCGTTGAACCCGAGCCCGTACCCCTGCCCCTGCGGGTCGACGGGGGGGAAGGAATAACACCTCCCCTGCATCGGGGCGTCTTCCCTCCCCCTCCCCTCCCTCTCCGCATCCTCACGCGGGAAGTACCCCCTCCCATGATTCCTCCCCCCACCCCCAAGCACAGGACCAGGCACAGCAAACGGCACCCCCTCATCCCCCTCAAACCTCCTATGCGCAGCAAACAGCGCCTCCGCCTCCTCCCCTATATCCCTCGGCGACCCCAGGGGCGGGCTCACCACGTGCCTCCCTCCCTTCTCGGGCCACGGGATGGAATTCATGTGCGTGGGAGGAGGTGGGGGTGGGGGGAGGCGGTGGGTGGCGGGGAAGGATTGGGTGCGGGTGTGCGTGGGGGGGCGGGGGGTGTTGGAGTTGGAATTGGATGTGTTGGGGTTGGGGTGGGAGGAGGAGGTAGAGGGGGCCGTCCAGGGGTGTGTGAGGGACGTCTTGAAGTCGTATCGTAAAGTGCTGGTCGGGCGCGCGGGCTGCAGCACGACTTTCTCAAGTGTACTCCTCAGATCCGCAATATCGCTTTCTGCGGCGGACGAGCTCGAAGGGGAGGAGGAGGAGTCGCTCCCCCTCCCCTTCCCCCTCTCCCTCTCCCTCCCCCTCTCCATTGCCTTCGCTTTCTCGACATAAAACTCAGCCAAATAATCCCTCCCCCAATTATTATCCCACACCTCCCTCTCCCCCACCCCCCACCCGTACCTCACAGCAAGCCACATCCTCTTCCCCTCAATCCTCGCAAGGAGATCGTTCAGGCGGATACTGAAGACGAAGACGTCGAAGTCGGAAGTGGGGGACGCGACGTAGCGCGCGGAGACTTCGGAGGTGGTTTGCCAAGCGTCGAAGGTGAAGCGCGCGACGACGGTTTTGGCGTAGGCGAGGTTTCGGACGCGCACGACGCCGAGGATGCTTAGGGAGTCACGCGCGAGCTTTAGCTCCTCCAACACCACGTCCTTCTTCCCATCCCCCTTCTCAGAACGCCCGGGCATATTCGGCGTATACATCGAAATGGCGAGCCCCTTCCCCGCGTCGTCAGCCGCACCACCCGCACCAAAGATGAACGAAGGAAAGTCCGTATCCGTCCCGCTCGTGTCCTCCGTGGGGGACCCGTCGCGCGACACGGCGAGGGGCTTCTGCTCGGCGAGGAACAGCTTGACGTGCTCGAGCTGCGCGTCGAAGTGGACGGCTTTGGCGTGCGTGGGGGTGTTCGGCTCGCTCTTGCTGGAGAGCGGGCGGGTGGTGACCACCGATAGGGACTTGCTCGACTTTAGGGAGGACTTCACCAGCTGCCCCGACTTTTTGCGGATCAGGCGGGGCTGGGACTGGGATGCGGGGAGGACAGAGGAGGAGGGGAAGGAGAGGAGGGCGGGCGGGACGGTGTGCGCGCGGAGGTGGGGTGAGGGGGAGGGGGAGGGGCGGGGTTTTTTGAGGAGGTGGAGGGAGATGCCGGGGGTGTAGATGAGGGAGGGGCGGCGCGGGGTGGCGTTGTCGTCGGCGGGATCGCGGGATCGCTCGAGGCGGGCGTCGTGCACTGCCGGGGTGGGCGTGGAGTGCTCTGGGGGGCGGATGCCGCGTAGGCGTTTTGTGCGCAGGGAGGAGGAGGAGCTGGATGAATCGGACTCGGGGGTGGAGTGTTGGACGACGACCTTGATGGGTGGCATGTCCGGCGGGGACGAGGGAGCACTGCGGGGACGCGAGGAGAGGCGGCGGGGGATGAGAGGGAGGGGTGCGCCTGCGGAGTTCATGTTGCGGGCGAATAGGGGGTCCATAGGAGGCGACATGCGGTGGGCTGTAATGGTAGCGATCATGGGGGGCTACACGCAAGGCGAGTCTCAGAAAGATATCAGTGTATGATATAAATGCTCGCCTTGCAGTCGATCACGAGAACTGTCCGCGGAGGAGGGGTGCGGACTTAGCAGGAGGGAAAGAGTCGATACCTTGGATTAGGCGATGGTAGCGTGGATACAGACGTCCCGGGGTTATGCTGAAACCCTATTATGTCCGGATTATAGAAACATATCAACTAAATAGAAATAGAGTAGACGCAATGACGAGACCGATGACACAAGAATACACAAGAATGACCTCGCATTGATCAAACATTCTTCTCACGATAACATATCCATTCATCTCATCCGTGCATGGCATTATGCGTATGTCCACCCCTAAATCCAGATGACCCTATTCTCCGATGATAGGGTTACCCCGTCGCATAACTCACACATCCACCCTTGGTCTCGACGTCAAAATTCCCCAAAGCTCTCACCTCCGACCACCCCGGGTTCTCGGACCTATTCCTCTCGTCGCGACCCAGATCACAGGTACCCGGTAATCGTCTTCCTCAAAACACACAAGAATACCGCAATGACGCGCCCAATGACGGTCCCATTGCGTCGTCTCTAATTTAAAGATATAGCCGCCGCGTTCATCTGATTTGTGTCCTCGAATCCACGCGTTCGACTTTATCCATTCACACCGACGGGGCCGCAATAATTGCGAGCGAAGCCTACCCCGCGGGCATGGCACGCTTGGGCGCTTGGCCTGGACCACCTCTCCGCGACCCTGGCTCTCAATCTCCCCCGCACGTCACATCCATCCGCATGAGCAGTACACTATGTTCTCGACGGGCGTCCGCGATTCGAGGGATGGGACAGCCACGAACCCAACATCACACGGTCTTCGGCCACCCCGTACGCCCCTCATCTTCCTCCATTCTCATCACACTTACCGATACAAGATAGAGTTCATCAACCCAATATCTACCGCGTTCCACCCCGACTCCCTCACATTCCGTCCCATCTACCGGCACGGAGTACCTCCATCGCTACGTATTAGCAATGGCACCCATCCCGAGCCCGTCCCCGTGATGGCGGGTTATACCTCTATCGGTGTCCTTCACTCGCGCTTATGTCTCATAGGAGATGCACCCGAGACGTTTCCAGGTGCACACTTAATATCCGCCTCCATCTCTTTATCCCTCCCCCGATCCCTCCCCTTCCCATGCACATACACACATACACACACCACCCCATACGCAACGAACTCTCCCCTCCCCACATCCTTAAACTCGCAGGACGCGAGACCCGCGGACATCCCCCCCCCTGCTCATCGAGGATCCCGAGAAATGAAGGCAAGATCTACGGTTCTGTCAGAGAACACCGTGATATAAATCACAAGTCCTATACGTCCTTCAGCCCATGGACACGGACAAGGACACAGGCACAGAAGGGACGATCCATCCTTGGCTCGCAGCGCCTCCAACTTCAATTTGGACGCGTAGCACCCCGCGACGAGCAAGCATCACCGTCCACTGTCCACTGTCTACCGTCTACCCCGCTCTCCCCTTTCACGACCCCACCACCCAACCACTCTAATAACCCAGCTCCATCTAGACTCGTTCCTATACGCACACCCAGCGTTGCCCACACACGTACACGCCACACCTATGGTGGCCCATCAAATGTCGGGGCCAAGAGATCCCAGCCTACACAGTCCCTCTTAGCTCAGTGGTAGAGCGCGTCACTAGTATTCCGCAACAAATACTTCACAGTCTATGACGAGGTCAGTCGTTCAAGTCGGCTAGAGGGAAATGTTGGATTATGTATCGCTTTTTTTCCGTCTTCATCTTCCCTCATTGTCTCTTTCCGGAAGGGGATTACCAAGGGACTCGAGAAGGGGGGGGGGGAGTGCGCATGGAGGTCGTATTCCCTCTTAGCTCAGTGGTAGAGCGCGTCACTAGTATATACTGTAAGGCTCCAACCGTACTATCTATTTACCATATATACAGTAGATACCGTATATGTTTACGTATATGTATAGGCCTGTTGGAAAAATTGTCCTATACAGTAGATATACAGTATAGCATATGGTTATACTGTTAATTTTTCCCGTCCAGTAAATCAGTAGCTTTCCTGGGGCCTAGGTTGATTTCGCAGTGATAGGTCGCAATCGAGGAGGTGTCAGCAAATGACGAGAGAACGAGGGGTGTTTTTGGACAAGGCGTAACCAAAAACACCTCTCGGCAACCTCTCGGATCGGGCTTGGCCTATTTTTAGATCGTCCACAGCGAGCCCAAAATTGTAACACGTTGTGTGCGTTCTTCTGACATATCTCAGTGACAAGTCTCATTCTTTGTGAGCAGAGCCTTTTAGACTGTCAGGTCAGACACTGGACAATGCAGGGAACATGTCCCTTTCATAAGCAAGCAATTTCGAACTTACATGTCCAAGTTGATTGAAGATCGGTCATCCTTGGGTCGTCCACCGCATAATAATTTATTGCTCAAAATCTTGAGGTAGTTTTAGGTAGTTTTACGAGACTTTTTGGCCATACCAGCAACAACTGTATCCGTCGAGCGCACCTTCTCAAAATTACGACACACTGCATCTCTGCGGATCTCAGCAGCCCCTGGAAGGCCGAGACAATCAGTCAAGATCTGTTGTCGAAGGTATGGATTCGGTCGGGGTTATTTGATGTCAACGAGCCCAAGGTTCCAGTCGGAAAGCATGCTCGATCTGACCCTATAACAACTGTCTACATCATACCGTATAACCATATATATACTGTATATACACACTAAATAACTGTATCCGTATATCTAGGCCCTTGGTCGTATACGGATACAGTACGGTTGGAGCCTTAATATACTGAGTTGCGAACGTGTACATGACGAGGTCAGTCGTTCAAGTCGGCTAGAGGGAAATATTGCCTGCCGACTGCAATTTTGCCTTTTTCCATCTTCACATTTCCTCCTTGTACCTTTGCGCTCGGGGCTATCAAGCCAAGGTATGAGGAGTGGGGAAGGAGGGTGTACTCCCTCTTAGCTCAGTGGTAGAGCGCGTCACTAGTATATTGTTCACTTGCTTTATGACGAGGTCAGTCGTTCAAGTCGGCTAGAGGGAATAATGTCGTAAAATCGCAGCGTACGTTTTTTTCGTGATAATCTGGAAATTGGAATGAGACGACCGGAGCAAATGATACACCCAGCCCTGTTTGTTATCCAATTTTGAGGAGTACATCGGCACTAGGAAGTCAGGATGACGCCGATGGTAAGCACTATGTACATGTCCATGCCAACTCTAATAATCCCCTCCCAGCTCAGTGGTGGAGCCCGCCACTACTGTGTTTCCGAAGAATGCAGTGGTCAGGACGGGGTTGGTCGTTCGAATCGGCCGGGGGAAGTCGAGGTGAGTGTTTGATGATTTTTCTTTCGGTGCGTCGCGGAAAGGCGTGTCTATATCCTGACGATGTATCGCTGCTGAGTAGTTCCCGGCATTGAGTTCATAGGGTGTCTGATTCGTCGTGCCCTGGTATTATAATCGTACGTGTGTCGCGCCTGCTAGACCACATGCCTTCATTTCACTCGCATCGTACGGAAGACTGAGCAGCGGTGTTCTCTGAGGTGTCTTGTTAAGAATTCGTGTCGCGTTCCCTCTGGCTCCGGAGAGTGTGTCCGCGGGGCGAATTTGCTAGGGGTCGGCCAGAACCACATTCAGTGAAGAAGTAGCTGTCGTCGATAAAGTGCTGGGGCATGTTCAATCAGACCTCGGCAGTGTTATATTGTACAAAAAGCGTCTGCCATTGGGAGTCCTACGCAAGCGGTGTATGATAATGGCTGCCAAACAATTTGAATTCAGCAGGTCGATACCATGACAGAAGACGTGTTGAAATTGGGCAGCCGGTTTCGAGGCGGTTGACACTGTGGCAATAGAGCTCAGAAAGGGAGGTCGTCTGGTTGTGATTGAAGTCGATGAAGGAGGAAACTCCTCGCGACCGCTCGCTGATCTCATTATTGACGAGACGCGATTATTGCCGCTTTCTTCAAGAACAACTTCATCAGTCCCTGCCTTACCGCGAACTCTTGTCATCTTTCCCATGTGCGTTTTGAAACAAAGAACACGATACGAACCACGGGTCTGAAATGACAGCGGACAGGATACAACAAATGAGCAAGGAAAGAGCATAGAGAGGAAGAGGAGGGAGAGGTTCTTCGAAACGAATCAACTCAAAAGACAGTTATGAGGTCCAGTAAAGGCATTTTGTATTAACTAAGTAAAGAAAATAATCTGCTAGGATTTTATTCTATGTAGCCAGCGTACAACCCATGCGGAAACAGCAAAGCAGGTCGTCAAGACCCACCAAGCTCCAGCTCCACCTATATGGATCTAGCGCGTGGGATGTACGAAGACCAAACATGCCGGCGACGTAAATACTGCGTGATTAGTGGTCGATGTTGGTCAAGGCCGCGGGACAGGAACCGGTGCCGGTCCCGAGAGCGAGAAAGTAGTAGAAGAGAGAAAAATAAAAGAACGGGAAAGCGGGGCGAGGATGCGATATGATACAGTGACCATGCGTGTGTGCAGTGTGTGGGTAGGATGTGGCGTGGTGAATGAATGTCATCATCGGCGCGCTTCAAGTGCGCCGATGACGGATACGGTTCATGATGAGTATAGGTTAGTGTGCGGGGTCGGCGTGAGTAAGGGTGCAGTGGGTCGTTTAGAGGGATTCGGTGATGGCGACGGAGAAGTCGGAGAAGTACGCGTTCTGATCCTTGGGGGATGCGAAGTCGGTCGAAGAGCCTGTGCGCAGAGTCCGTGAGTATATGAAACAAATTGCAACCGCGAAAATAAACGTACCACCGAAGAAGGTCTGCATCTGGATACCACGCATCCTGCCCGAAGCGTTGTCCCTCAGGATGAGGCCGTCGACCTTGACGACGCTCTTGCCGTTGACGAAGAGCTCAAGCTCGCCGTTAGCCTGGCCGACGTCGTTGAGGCGGACACGCTCGCTGACGGTGGTCCACTGGCCGGCGGCGAAGTGGAACGAACCACGGCCAACAGAGGCACCGTAAGTGGGGTTGCACTCGGACATGGGAGCGACGTTGCACTGCTTCTTGTTAGCGGCGAACTTCGAATCGGTGTAAGGCGGGAGGTAGGTGTAGAACTCTCCAGCACCACCAGCACGCCACATGAGACGGGCCGAGAAGCAGGCAGCAGATCGGCGTCCTCCAGAGCAGCTAACGGCGACCTCATCGCTGTCTCCTCCATCTGGTGATAAATGAGTTATAAATAGACCGCTCTATCAAGATCACTGTTAAGACTTACAGATACCAGGCAGCTTGCCACCCTTCTGCCAACCGAACCCATCCTCGAAGAACACGGAGTAGCCGAAGGTGGCCTCCTTGGCCGTGCTCAAGTCGACGGAGCTAGGACCGGGAGCATAGAAAGACAGACCACCCTGGGGCTTGTGCGTGAAGGTGTACGAGCCCTTCGGGTAGTGTGCCCGCATAGCCTTCTTGCCGTTGACGTTAACGTAGTCGTGAGAAAGGGCAGAGAGGAGCTTGGTGGGTTGCAGGGTGGCGTCGGACAAAGGAAGGGGGTTGGGGGCGATGGAGGAGGTGGACCATGACTTGGAGAAGCCAGAGACGGGGAAGAGTGCACCGAGAGCACCGTTAGCGGCCAGAGTCTTCGCGGGAGGCGGTGAAGCGGAAGACTTGGTCGGCTTCGCCGAGGTGGTGTGCTCACCCTTGACGGTGCTGGTGTGCTCACCCTTGCCGGTGCTAGTGGAAGTATCATCATCGCCCTTGACAACAGAGGTCTTGTTGCCACCATGGTGCGATTCATGAGCAGAGTGAACGGCCGTGGGCACAGCTGTGGGCACAGCGATGGAGGAATGAGGGCGGCAAGCGCGACGACCGTGAGGCATCGCGTTGGCGAAGAGGATGGCGGCAAGGAGGAAAAGGAGGGTCTTCTGTGCGTACATGGTGAAAGAATAGAACGGGTGCGTGAAAGAAAGTCGTTGGGAAGCCTGGAAAGAAAGACTTGGACAACGGGATGAAAAACGACCGACTGGGCGGATAGAACGAGGGACAAGGAAGGAAAGATGGGGGGTTTATATACGGGGCAAACCAAGGAGAGAACAAATGATGGAAGCGAAATTTTCGGCGGTACCTCCAGGTGGCCTTGGCACGCGTCGATCTCAGATCCATCATTGTTGAACCACGATCATGATAGAGGCCGGATTGCGGCCATTCATCCCGCCCACAAACGGGCGCTATCCCAGTAGAAGAGCCGCTTCGGATGACCGAGAATCCATGGGACGGTCCAAATTTCCTGTAAAATTTCACATCGGCACGCTTTTTTTTCCTCCTCAATTTTCTACGGATGTTTTTTTTCTTTTCCGCAGACCATGTTACTTGAATTAGCACAGGAAGTAGCATAATGGTCACCAAGAGATTCCAAATGATGATAGGTTCCGGCGTTGGAGCTCCGTAGTAGTACCCATATGGGAGCGTGAGGGAGCTTGTTGTGGGGTGGTGGTGGGGAAAGCACCCGGAAGAATTCATGGGTGACGTCGAGTTAGAGGTTCATGCCGGGAAGCCGAGATTACTCAGACGTCCGACGGTGGTATAAAAATTCATTCAAAAAATCCAATATGCTGCGGTTGAGGTCAGGATACCTTACCGCAGCCCTCTAGTTACTATTTTCTTCCGAGAAAATGAAGAGTGGGAGCTCAGTGTTGTTATCGCTTTTTGCCCGCAGCGTAAATCAACATAACACAGAGGAAAAATGATTAGATAAGATTTGCCGTTCTAGATCTAAACGAAATTATACCGCAATTTCACAAAAGGGATGGGGCAACTCTTGAACTCAATAAAATTGGGGTGGTGCAGAAGTATATCAAAACTGAGTTTACGTCTATCCGTTGGCGACTTCTTTGAGCCACACCGCGGTAACCCTGAAAACTTTGAGGGGTGATCACTCCTGCAGGGATAATGCTAAAGATACAGCACAGCCACCGCAGCTTGTTTGCTAAACAAAGGGCATGGCAAACAATGGCCCCATGTGCATCTGCGACCGCACGAATGACAGGTTACTATGGGTACGTGTGTCGTCCTGCGATGACCAAGTATATTTCGGAAGATCCTCTTTAGAAACTAAAGTGGACAATCAGCGTGAGAGGAATAGGAAATGCTACACCCACATAGAGAGAAGCCATATTCTCCATTGATACATGTCGAAGCAGGATCAAGAGCATGCATGTAGGATGAAAACATTTCGAGTGCGCCAGGATACATACAGATTTACATATACGACTTCACGTCAGAGCGGGATCTTCACAGCAGCAGTCATGGCGGAACATCTCCAGCATTCGCATCCTTCGTCTTATTAGTCTCGTCCCTGATCCCTCCCTGCGCAAAGCTCAAAATGCCAGCCATATCCAGCTGCTGCACCACCGACTCTGCCGTGTACACGTCCATCTCTCCTAACACCTTGTTCACAGCGTCCAACTCGCCCTTCTTGAGAGCCTCCTGGAAGTCCTGCGGGAATGCCTCGAACACGTCCCACCGGAACTGCAACGCCTTCCGCACCTCCTCGATATCGAGGCCCTCCGTCTCAGGGCCCTCGAGCACCAACTCCTCCGGGGGCGGCCCGTCAGGCACGTTGAATGAGATGGTCTGCTCCGGGTTCTCAGGGACGAGCTGGATCTGCTCTTTACCAGAGGATTCGGCTTCCTCTTTGAGAGAGATATTGACACGTTCGGCCAGGTGCTGGTAGGTCCCTTCCATGTCGTTCACAAACACGCTCTCGGCTCGTGGATCGCCCGAGATCATCCTGGGGTGAACAATGGAGTTTAGTAATGGACATCGAAGCACGATGGTAATACGAAAGGGCGTACTTCTGGAAAAAGACGCGGACACCATCTTTCCCGAGCTTTTCACAGTACTGCAACAGAAGGCTCTGGTGGACGCATTGTTTGGCGTATTTCGCATTGCCTGCGCTCTGGGCGCGGAAGGCAGCGACGAGGAGTGCGTCAGAGGCTCCAGGCACTACGACGTCGCGGTGGGACTGGATAAACTCGAAAGCTTTCTCATACGCTCGCACCGGGATCTCAGAGAAAGC